TAACAAAATCACTTCACTCGAATTTCGTTGGTTCACTGAAATTGGTTGATTTTATAAAATTGGAATTTGCTGGGTTTGGAGGGTCGGAGGGTTTTGCCTGAAGAAAAATTCCTTTCCTGAAACTTGCAAACGCGTAGTGCTGAACCTAAAAGAAAATAAATCTTGAGAGGCTTTCTTTACGCTAAAGCATGCAGAGTGCGTGGTACAGGTCCAAGTTTCAGCGATCGCCGTGCCCCCTTCAGAGACAGACATCGTTATACTGAGTTCATCTTCTTGGGGTTCTTTAGTAGGAATAGGAAGGAGGAAGTGAACATGAAACTTGGAAAGAAAGGACGATGGAAGGATGGAAGAAAGATAAAAAGTCGCCGGAATGGTTCCAGTTTATATATATGAGAAATGCAAGGGAAAGCAGGAGCATTAAATGGGATCCCGTTCCCATGTAAAGTGTCGGCAATGAGAATCGCTAGACGAACATTACTCACGTGACCGTCTCGAAACATCTTGCCCCATACCTAGAGGAGAGAAGCAAGCAAAAGGGATAATAACAACCAAACATTTGAAATGTCAGCGTATTTTAAGTACAGTCAGACTGAAGGAAATTGAAATTCGCCGAAAGGAAAGGAAGAGAAAAGATCATCCAGATATAAGAAGTGAAGGGAGACAAAATTGTGAATAAGAGAAAGAGACAGAGGGAAGGTAAGATAAATAAATGAGAAAAATGAAGACAAGACAAAATTAAATGAAACTCCTTAAGAACGCCTGCCACAGGGTGTTTCGAAACTAATTCGAGTTATAGCGTTGCATTGCCACGTCCCGTCCCGTTCAGAATGACAGAAAATAAAATATCTCACAGAATCTTCTGCTAGTAAGTGTTATAGCAGGGTACAGCAAGCGAATTGACGGCAGATCGAATTCCAACCTCTGCTAATTAAATGCAAACAAATGCATTCATCCTTTTAAAATAAACCACGGAATTCGATCAGTCATGGAAATGGATTTACATAACTTCAAACGCAAAGTTAAAGTATTTTTTAAGATACATGACAATTATAGTTCTTGATTAAGCGATGAAAGGTCAATGTTCTTTTAAGGTAACAACTCATCGGCCGTCACACAATATACACGTGATTGTGGCAAACAGATGGCTTCATTACATCCCTAATTAACTAACTTGTTGGATTAGTCTGTCTTCAGAACTTAAGAGTTGCTCAGCTAATCAAAACGTTGTCCACATTTATGCATCGGGAGGGTTCATTGCTGTGTTTGCCAAAGGCCGCTGTCTGTCCGTATCTTGATCATGATGAGTACAGTCCGCACTCCAGCGTCATGTGTATTTAGGATACTTTCTGGTATAATCTGTCTGCCATCTGCATTTTTATTTTCCAAGTTGTCTCCTCCGTTTCATTTCCCGACTAAACATTTATACATGTTTTTCATCCGACCACCGCCCGCCCTGATGTCATATTCTTAGATTTAAACAGTTACCGAGATGTGGTAAAGAGTGTAAATCATGAAACCTCTCATTATGCATTTTTCTACTGTCTTTTATCACAGCTTCCCTCTGAGGGCATAATACGTCCACCATTCTTTAAGTTGCGCCCAGTTCGTCACAACTCTAGATAACGCCAGTGGGAATAGATCACATAGTGTTTTAATACGATCTGAAGCTTTCATGGGAACTGAGTGTAATGAATTCTTCTGCGGCTACCAACCATGTCAGACCTTTCTTCCTTTCACCCACCTGACACTGCCAGCGAATAATTCATTACAGTGTTTCAGGGTTATAAGTACTGTTCGCGTATTCAGCAGTTAACTACTGTGTCACGTACTTACTACTAAGGCAATGGGTTTGTGATAGAATTCCTTGAAAAAATACCTTGTTTCCATGTTTATGATAAATAATATTTAATTTATATGACACAGTTGGGTTATCAAACTCTTTGCCATTTTCCTCCACTATCTCAATTAAAGTGTCCGAATATCAGTTAAGTGATTATCCTATGTCGGCTTTTCCCGTAATACCTAGTGAATTACGCTGATTACTGTGGATAGCTAGAGGAACACTGATTAAGAGATTAACAGATACTTGGCCTGTTCAGCTTTGTTGGCCGATAGAATCACATGGATCAAGCGGGAATCGAAGTCGGATAGAGAAAGTTACATCATGTTCCTGCATTAATAACATTGTGATGTCTTTTTCCTTTTACCGTTTATAAACTGTTATCACTCGCGGATTCTCTGTATGGCGAGCTGGATCAACAAAGCGATTATGTGATAATGACCAGATGACCGTAATGGTTCCAGCCGCGAGGACATCAGTGAACCCTCAGGGACCGCTGCGTCCCTGATTGCAGTTTCAGATAGACGACTAAGGTTTCGCAATTTAGGGAAGGTGGAAAACAGAAACTGTCTCATCGGAATGGGTGCCATGTGTCTAGATTACCGTGCTTCGGCTTGACCTGTCCAAAGCAGAGGCTGGCGCTCTTGATTGATTTACCAGTCACCGTTCTTAACGACTCCTTCCCTATAGACAGAGCAGCACTGGTCTGGCCAGACATCTCAGAACAAACACCAATAAGATGCGCATTCAAATAAAAACTTTTAGAACCCAAGATATGAGTCAGATGTTGTATTTAACGCGTTAAAATATGCTGTTGGAAATTGTGTGTTTACTCATAACGGAAGAGTTTGTTAACTGCTTAAACTGCGTAAAACGGAGCGGAGAAAGTTAGGAAATTGGATGAATTAGCTCGTTATGTTCCCATTGTTTGTGTTTGTAAGCCTAACTTACTCTCAGATCCGAAAATACCATAGAGTCTAAAATTCCTGGTTACATCTCTCAGCGGAAGTCATCCGTTCTTTCAGCAAACTTCTTCTTCATCTTATTACGTTGGATACATCATTCTTGCGTCTATATATGATTTGCTTTATAAGCTAAGCAATATCTAACGGTTTGCATACATACGTTGTTAAGTGTAACTAACGGAAGATAAACAGACAGCACAAAGACAGTAGAAATTCTAAATATCTATAGTCGCACGTGACATTGACAGTGTATGAGACCGGGGTAAAACTCATCACTCGTAGCCATAGTTAGGCTCTCCAGCCGTTCTGGGTGGAATTTTTACCTCGTGTAACAATACTTAATATGTCCTATTATTAACAAAAAAGTTACCTCGAAGACATGTTGTCTCTTTAAATAAGGAACAAGAATTTCGTGGTTGTGTTAGGAGAAATTAATTACAACCTGAAGTTTATACACATGTATTTTGATTAATACGTCCTCAACCAAAATTATAAATACTTTTCAGTGAACGCTGTGATATTAAAAATATTTTTATTGCAGAAACAAATATAAGTGTTTCTCTCAATACGTCCTCAACCAAAATTATAAATAATTTTCAGTGAACGCTATGATATTAAAAATACTTTTATTGCAGAAACAAATATAATTGTTTCTCTTACTTTTTGACATACGCCGCACAATTAAAGAAGACTTTCTTCCAATTTGATTCGATTATTCCAAACTGTGTTTGCCAGAAGCTCCTTTATATATTATACTAATACTACGAAGCAGATCCAGAGCTCGTTTGGATACACACTGGGCTGGACATACTGTTCACCAGAATATTTTTAATTTTATAATCGTCTTTGGAATTGGAAAGATACTTTGCTATTTAAGCAGTTGATACAATATATGCTTTTCAATTTAAATATGTGATCTGTGCTAAATGACGTACTACCATGTTCATTACAAAAATATTCACGTGTGACACATCTCAACATCTCGAGCACAGTATCGTGAATGCCTGCAAAGCCTCAGTTAGACTGCAAGCTTGACAATAGCGGTGGAGAAGTTGCCGCCCGGTCAAGGCGCTCCAGTTCATTGTCAGTCAAGATCTTTCATAGTAGTAAAATTTGTGGGAGTTCATTATTAGAACTGTTTTATAGGCAGACGTCAATAATTACCTTTTGATCGCATGAATATCCATTTGGATTTGTTGCTTTGTTAGTTATTTAGCAGTTGCGGGTGATGTTTAAGAGAATCCATGTTGTCAGAAACTTTGACATTACTTCTCACATTATTCTTGATAATTACTGTAATGGTTTTTATCTTCTGTGTTTCGCTATATTATTATACACACAGAATTAAATGAATAATATAATGTATTAGTTTAATTTTCTTAATTTAACTTTATTTTTGTTCCTTAGTGAAGGATTCCTACATGATTTCACAATTTTATGTCTGTCTTCTGGGATTCTGCACAGTGTATTCTGGTAGATATTGGCCGACGTTTCAAATGAACTTATTTTATGTCTGTCTTCTGGGATTCTGCACCGTGTATTCTGGTAGATATTGGCTGACGTTTCAAATGAACTTACTGTATCCATTTTTACATACCTGATGATGGAGGCAGTAAGCAGACTATACGGTGCAAAATTCCAGAAGACGGCCACTTTCATACTTGTCGCCACAACAATAGGAGCCGAAGTTTCCTTTGAATATATTGTTGCAAAAACTGGAAGCGAGGTCATTGTTGAATCACATTAACCTCAGATCACATGATCTCAACAATGAACATGATACCACTGCTGTCTTTGCTGTTCCTATCGAGAAAGGGTGATCTCAGAACGCAATTCATTTGAGCAGAGTTTATCAACGAAACAACTTGCCGACGTCGCCGTCCGTACTGTGCCTTGAAAGTGCCTTTGAAATCCATATACGCTGAAGAGTACATCTAAGATCTTATTTTTTCAACACAAGGCTTGTGTGCGATAGTCAATAAAAACTGATGCTTGTGAATATATTCATTTCGCAAACCATTCTCCTTTTTCAGTGATTTCTTATTGTATAGGAGAAGTGAAACTGGGACTGGGCTTCCATATTAACTATAAAAGTGTTTACGTGATTTATCTTAATAATCCAGCTCAATATCGTGAATGCCTGCAAAGCCTCAATCAGACGACACGCTTGTCACTATCGGTGAAGAAGTTGCCGCCCGGTCACGGCGCTCAAGTTCATTGTGAGTCACCAACTTCAATAGTAGTAAAATTTCTGCGAGTTCATTATTAGAACTGTTTTTATATGCAAACGTCAGTCATTACCTATTGATCGCATGAATATCCATTTGGATTTGTTTCTTTGTTAGTTATTTAGCAGTTGCGGGTGATGTTTAACAGAAAGCAAGCCCTCGGAAAAATTGATATTACCTCTCACATTGTTCCTTGTTTATTAGTGTAATGATTTTTATCTTCTGTGTTTTGATGTTTTATTATACGCATAGAATTAAGTGACCAATGCAATGTAATGTTGAATTTTCGTAATTTTACTTCACTTTTGTTCTTCAGTGGGGGATTTCGTTCCAGTAGCATTACTTTAGTTCTACATTTTCTGACCATTCATTTCATTAACTCCGTTATCGCTACAGCACATATTCATAGGTGACATTTTACTATTTAAATATTTGTTTTTTCATTACAATTTCATTAATGACGAGTCTTCACACTGAAAGTTTGATTGATTCGGTTGTAGCTGTCCATTATTCTTCTGTGTACATAGAACACTTGCACTCAAGTAAGTGTAAATACGAAGATTTCTGTCTTCTGGGTTATTGCGCTGTGTAGTCTGGTCGATGTTAACCAACGTTTCAGAGGTCATACTGCCTCCGTCATCAGGGCGATGAGTATGAAGATTTCTGTCTTCTGGGTTGTTGCGC